TTTAAAAAAAAAATTAATAATTATTATTTATATTAATAATTAAACTATTTAATAAAATTAATATCGGTACGGTAGTGTACGGAAATACCGAATTTTTCGAAAATTCATATCGATACCGTACCGAAATTTTCGGTATTTTCGACACGATACGGTATGATAAGTCGGTATTTCGGTATGATTAGTAAATTTCTCCATCTTTACAATTGATACCTTTTTATTTTTGGTAAAAATTATTAAATCAAAATATATTTAACAAATATAAATCAACTTAATTAATTACATAACATACAAACCAATTCAAAAGCCCTTCGTTTCTATCTATTTCCTAAAAAAAATAAATAAATATATTTTTATCTATATTTAAAACTATATATCTTTTATAAAATTGATTTATGTTAATTATAAATAAACAAAAATATTTTTTATTTATTTGTATTATAAAAAATTTTATTCTCTACAAAATGATATCCATATTGCATATATTTTTTAATTACTATATAATTTTTAAATATTTAAACATATATTTTAATTTTTTTAATCATATATATTAAATTTACTTTAAAATTATAAATATTATTAATTACATAAAGAAATAATATAATAATATCATAATTCATTATTATTAATTAATTAAACATTTTTACTTAAAATATGGTGTCCTTAATCAAATAGTTCAATTCCGGTGGAACAGAGAGAGTATTTATAATATTCATTATAGTATATATCTAAAAATAAAATTCAAGCACAAAAGGACTTATTTATTTAGACTCAATTTCAAATTATTTTCCCTATATTATTTTTATAATTTTTAATAAAAATATATTATTTCATAAAAATAAGAAATTAAACTCTACACAAACTAACAAACCCACATTTGGAACTGGTGTCCTCCTAACAATGGCAAAAAGAAAAAAATAAAATAAAAGATCATAGTTTAACATATCATATAAAAATATACAATAGTTTTGTTTATCATTTTTGTCCGTCTCAAAATAATAATTTCATTTTCATAAATAGCTATATAACCGTAAAATTATCCCTACGTTTTCATCGTTATTACTCAATTGCAACTACTTTTTACACTAATATACCCACAGGGGCAAAAAAGTCATTTATCTTACTTTTTACCAACTATCAATATAATATCAATATTTCTTAAATCTCGTGTCCAATACAATAAGACTATACTTTTGAAACATATGGAGTATTATATGAATTATTGTCGTATGTTATATAACTTATTGTTTTTGAATGATATTATACATACAAAAAAAAAATCTCTATATACTCTTAAAAATGTATTATAAAATAGTTATTTATTTATTTTATTATATATATATTTATTTATTTTATAGGTAAATGTTTAATGGGCCTCAATTTTTGCTTGGGAACTTTCATGTACCTCTACTGCCGAAAGTGATATATGTATGAAATATATATATATATATATTTACTCCCTCCTTCCACTAATTATATATTTATTTTTTTTATTTTGGTTCGTCAATAATAAAATATTTAGTTTCTTAAAATAATTTTACTATCTATCTAACATTACAAATATCATTCTGATTTACAATATATTACAAAAATATTATTACCTTTATATTATACAATACTAATAAGGGTATTTTAGTCTTTTTACCTTTATTTATACTATTATTTCAATATAATTTTAATATTTTTAAAACTCCATGCAAAGAGTAAATGAAATAGATAAATATGAGACAGAGGAAGAATATATTTGTGTGTAATGATCCTATGTTATACTCCTTTCGTCCCGGTCAAGATGACCCTTTTAGGGATACGGTATTTTAAGTAATATAGATTAGTAAATTATTAATAATAAGTAATGATATTATTTTTTATATGAGTAATGTTGTTGATATTTTTTATATTTTAGCATTATATCTCAATAAAATATATGCAATATGAATATCATTTTGTACAGAATAAATTTTTATATAATATAAATCAAAAAATTATTTATTTATTTTTGTAATTAATTTAAAACTAATTTTATAAAAAATATAAGAGTTTTAAATATAGATACAAATATTTGTTCATTAAGAAAAAATATATAAATAAAAAGATTTTAAGTGAGACCCACGTGTAAGATGCTAGAAATTTAATTAAAATGCTTTATATTTGTTAAATATATTTAAAATGAATAAATTTACTAAAAATGTAAATGAGTTATTTTATATGAGACCGACAAAAAAGAAAAAGATATCATCTGTCACGACGGAGGGATTATTATTAACGTACGCACACTACTTTCCATTTCTGGAATTTTATTTTATATTATTTTTGTTCAGAAAAAAGTGATTCAAATGATTTTGTGGCATTATACCGTATTAATTTTTCTTCGATTAATTGTTGTTACTCAACCGTTGTGTTGACCCTCTTCTTACAACCTTCTTCTATGTGATGATGTTTCTGTTATACCTAAATGATGCATCTACGTTATATGATTCGTCGGGGGGAACTACATCTACTTTAGAATGCTTTTGAAATTTATTAATTATGTTTAAGGACTAATGCCTTATGAACTATTTTCAATTTATGTTTTTTATTCGAACATTACTTATTTAATTCATAAGTTGGTGCGCTTTAATTCTAAATCTCTATTTAGTTGTTTGTATTTATTATTTTAGCTTTAATGCCACAATATAGGGCTAGTTGGTTGATGAACGAGCCTTCCGGTGTGACATAGCAGTGACACTCCGGTTTGAGCCGGCCAGGGTGTCACAATAATATAGGTAATTGAGATTCGTCAAAAAAGTGTTTGATCTAATGACTAGGGTGTTGTGAAATCTAAATCAACATTTAAGATTAAGTTTTTCAATGGATAAGATTTGATATCTATCCAAAATTTGTTTATAAATATAATTTTTCATCATTTGAGTTATTGCACCACAACAATTTATTTCTCATTCTAATATAACAAAAGTTTATTAAAACATTTTATCGAAATGTCCATCCGAAATGGTGGTTATAGTCGTGATGAAAATGTGTTGCTATGCCAACATTATTTAGATATCTCGCAAAGGCAACAATCCAGGATCAATTTTGGAATCGAATTATTGATGCATATAACCAAACTAAAAATCTTGATTGGGAGATACGTAGTGTAAGATCTGTACAAAATCGGATCCAAGCCATGGAGAAAGCTGTTCGAAAGTAACTTGTTTGTATTAAGAAAGTAGAAACTTTAAAACTTAGTGGAGGTTCAGAGATGATATTGTAAATTTTTTCTTAAATTTATTATTATTATATATAGTTCGAAAGCTCTATTTGTAACCTTAAAGTATTGTTTGTAGTTAAATCAAATAAAAAAGATGCAAGTTTCTAAAAAAGGGTTTTGAATTTAATCATATTTGGAACTCGTTAAAAGATTTTGAAAAAATTAATGATTACAATGAAGCTAGAAATCCATATAAAATATCTCAAAAAAATAATTTCACTCATGTATCATCATTGTTGGATGACATTGTTTTTGAATCTTCGAAAAATTCATCATTTGCTATTAACTTAGACGATGATTATGAGATGATTGAATTTAAATTATAATGTTGGTGAGTCTTCATATAAATGTCATATGAGGGTGAAAAAAAAAAGATAAAAAAAGATAAAAAATGCTCATGTTAGTGAAGTTAAAAGAGCAAAATTCAATGGTTCTAGAAATGCTCAAAAATCATCTTTGCACATACAAGAATTTTTGTAGCTGGAAGGAGAAAAATTAGCATTTAAAATAATGACCGTGAGGAAAGTTATGAATATGGACTTGAATGTTATTATTGATCCTGCTCAGTGTGATTATTACCGGTTCAAGAAAAATGAAATTTTACATAAAAGAACAATAGAATTTCAGGGATCAAATTCAGTCTTCTTCGAATATATTTTTTAGTGATATTGGTGGAGATTGAAATGCTGACATTCCTCCGTATTAAATTAATTTATTTTAATATTTTATATAATTTGTATTTTATCAATGTAATTTGTTTTTTTTTAATGCAATGTGCTTTTGTATTTTAATTTTATTTGTTTAAATAATTTCTATAACATATAATATTTTCAATTTGAAATAAATTTAAATACAAAATTATATTTTTCAATAATTATACATATATACTATGTTCGATTTTCACAACATTATTTTTCAATTGTGATTTTCAAATATAATAATAAAATATATAAAATATTTTATACAAAAATTAAAAAGTAAAAAATATTCCTTCTAGAAATTCAAATCATTACCATAGGTCAAAAAATCAAATATTCAACCTAAACTAATATATTTAATATTTTTTACACAATTTTTTATATCACACACACAAAAAAAAATTATTTCATCCAAATACACTCATGAACGAAGTCATTATATATATTTTTGGAGAAAAATATAAAATAATTATTTTCGAAATAAAAAATTACACAACATTTTACAAGTAAAATTACACACTATTTTCCAAAAACTTAAATTTCACATTATTTAAAAAAAAATTATATATCACTTTAATAAAAATAAAATTATCACTTTTTTTAAAAAAAAATTATACATTATTTTTTAAAAAATTAAAATTACATACCACTTTGTAAAAAACATAAAATTATACGGTGTATATTATTTTCTAAAAATAAAATATACAATACACCTACAAAAATAACAAAAATACATAAAACACAGCAAAACACTATACCCAAAAAATAGAATGAAGCTTCTGTATATGCATGCAGCAAAAATGGGAAGGAGGAGGGATTTTGAAATGTTCATTAAATATTCAACTGTGGAAAGTTGTGTTTACTTTTATTTTAAATTAAATAAATTTATTATTTATTCCGAATAATTTTTTCAATAAAAATAAGTAATGTTCTTCAAACCTTGATGGTATATCGAGAGGGCATACCGTTATCCTTTTCAATCAAAAATTCCTAATTTAAATGCTTTGAACAATTTATTTCCATGGAAATATGCAAGCAAGAAAACAAGACAGAGAGTGTGTCCAAACCTCACCAACTATAGAGTAACGCAGTATAATAAAAGTCTACTGCACTTGCCATCACCACAAATCATGTAATAAGTAGTAAATTCATTTACATGGCAGTTTTATGAAAACCCTTTGTAAAACAGGCCAAAATTCGAGGTTTCGATTTTATTCTTACGGGCCGTTCCACCTCGATAACATTTCCTAAAGAACCAACCGGAACTCCGAAAAGGTCGTAGGCTCTACAAAAATCGGCAACAACAAATAGGATATAGCAGGTCGAGTGAGTACCGTACAATGTCATATTTTATCGTCACGACCTACATCTTCCTACTTGATGCGGCTTCTTGTAAGCAACGATGCTCCAAATCCGGAGAATCTTTTGCCAAAGAGGCCAGCGCCTGAGCTGTTGTCGATGTTTGTTTCTTCCGATGATGTGTTGATGCTGTTCAAACCCGGACTGGTGTGTAGCCTCGACAACCCAATATCATTAGGCATTCCGTGAAGATCCTATTGAAGATATTCGGAGAAGAGATTACACGAGCGAGCGCTAAAACATGACCAAATGAAGTTAAAATCGAGAGTGTCATAAAATTAAGCGCACCTTCAGGCCTGAACCAGAAGTATTGCTCTGTGAAGAACTAGAGGCCGAGACCGAGGCTTGTTTTCTCTCGGAGCCACTACCCGAAGAAGAAGGCGACGGGGGCTCGAGTAGAGTGGCGGGTAAAGACACAGTCTGCATAGCAACGTGTTTGTCGGGAGCTGGATTTTCACATGCATAAATAATATTAACGAGCGATGTATAACGGGAGATAATACGATACCCTTGATGGAGATACCGGGGACGACTCAATAGCGGGCCTCGCAGCACCCTACAACGTCCGTACGAATAAAAATCAAGAAAAATTATATGCTGAGAGGTATGATTGAAAAATTGCAGGAAAGTTTGTTTCTTGCCTCGATATGTTCCATGCTTCTGCTACTTTCAAGATTCCTCACGAAACCAACCAACTTCCCCACTCCAAAATTCATTTCATTCTACATATCATCGATAATTAAGAGAATTTCATTAGGAAAGTATTTACAAAAAAACAGCCCCAGCTAATAGTTGTTAACGAAAAATAGTACCTGTCTTCCTTCAATCCTACTAATTTTGCTTTCCTGTCACGTAGAAAGAGTTTCAGGGTTTAGGTTTTGATCGTTGATTAAAATTATACATGTATCCTTGATTAAGGAGAGGAGATTAATCACCAGAGATTGCACTACATGATGAACAGATTGAACATCGGCCCCTATCAACTTCACATCCCCGCGCAGCTCATTGACCTGCACAAATTGAGCACATTATACATTGTTTCCAGTAAGCCATTCTTGAAATGCGGCACAACCATTAAGCCCAACAAACCTCATCCTTTGTTGCAGCAGTATTATCAGCACATTCATCAATTTTACAATCTACACGATCAATTCTTGAGGACAAATGCTTCTTGGTGGCCTGGAAATGTTTAGCAAAAAGTCAAGAGATATAGAACAATAAGGTACGGTATGCTTAAGACTAAATTCATTTCTAATTGGTAAGCACCCAAAACATAAAAATAATAGACGATCTGGCATAGTTGTAAATGGTGCACGGTGTGTCACAAGTACTAATACACAATTAATATGCAATCATTTTCATCATCAAGTGTATCACTGTCATATTCTTTTCTCAGGAGAGACGGGAGAGATTGAGCAGAGAGATGGAAAAAACTGAGAGAAAAAACACTTTTGGGGGGCACCAGAGAGAACTATTAGCCAGGGAACCAAAAGACATAATGAGAATTTAAATACATATGGAGTATCATATGCCTCGGAATATCAGGATCAAACACAAAATAACTGTTTTCGAATTTGTGCCATGGCTGCAGTAGTTATCATTTATTCAAGCAAATACAAAAGCCAAGAAAGTAAAAGCTTTTATATGCATGTATAGTTATGTACAAGTAAGCAAAGAATGATAGATTTTAAGAGAATGGTTCTGCCAAGGAAATAATCAAATATTATCAGTGACTTCTAAAAGAAAAACAACAATCCAAACAGGCAATAGTTAAAACCCATGATATGCATTTATGTATCAGAAAAATTTGTCAGAGTGCAAATTAAGAACTTACCGAAACTGAAGCATAAACATTCTCAAGCTGCTTAGCTACAGAAGCACATGCGTCATTTAGCCCACGCCTTGTGGCAAACATCATATCAGTAAGCTTCCATCCCTGCAAATTGAACAAATTCTCTTAAAACATGCAAACAAGCCATGTCTTGTATCATAAAAATCTCATCGAAGTGTGATTAATGTTAATTATTCATAAGACAACAGATTAGCACAAAAGATATAAAAGAACACATGTTCTTAAATGGCGTTTTCTACAGAAATACATAAATCTGGAAGCATCTTAGAGTGCATCTAGAAAGTCGCAATGCATTTCACGGAAGAATGTGACCAAAATACATTACCTTCCACCAAACATAGCCATAGCCAACAACGACAACAATGACAACTACTCCATATTTTCCAGAACCTATAAAAAGTATATAGGGCAGATTAGCTACCATACCAATAGATCACCACTGCAAGGAAAATTAGCGCAAAGAAAAAAAAATATCCAGAGTACAGACACTGAAATTTAGCACAGCTAAAGAACCAATATCAGCACATGAACATTAACCAAACCAAGATTTCTTTGGGGCACAGAACAATACCTATATCAATAATAAAAAATCAGCACTCAGATTTAGTATGAGTCTATGAGAACATCCTTCGCGAGATGTCAGAAATCTAATCCAGGTCCAACTTTAATTTCATTACTTAAAAATTAAATGAGGTTTAGGGAAAGCTAAATAACAATCTTACGTTTTAAATATGAAAAATAACAATCTTACGTTTTAAATATGGAACTTGTACATACAGAGCAATAAAAGGTTTCTCAAAATAAGCTGTCTTAAAAATATGAACAATATATAGATCTCCTATTATTGGAAAGTCCACCATGTGAATGCTTATATTGAACTCCCACCCGACTCAATAGAAAGCTCATAAATAACTTGCTAGAGCAACCTGATCTATCTCCAGTAACTATTGTAATAGATCTATTGGATGCCAATAGTTGCAGCTCCTCACGCAGACTGTTAACCTGTAAGGTTCAAGCATTTGATCAGTTTTTGTAAATACAGATTTAATATGTGCTCAAAACTCAAAATGGTATCAGGTGGAAGGTCGACGAAAATATGGCAAGTCAAATACAAATCTTAGTTATATAATGTACGATGATACTTTTTAAATGGAACAAGCAATTATGCACAAAATGTTATTAAGCGCTAACAAATATATCAACGATTAAGCTATTATATCATTCCCATCAGCAAGTATGATCTGATTAACAAGAAATGGTTAGTTTTCACCAATACTACTACATATTGCTGTTTATCAACCTTTTGAATAAGCAGATTTCTCTTCACCCCTTCAAAGAAGCAGCATCAAAATGTTTTGGAGTATTTGTCTTTATAGAAGATAGTGATTATTATTTACTCCATTACCATGAACTAATCCAACTTGGAAATAAAATAAGAAAATCTGCTCCAGCAAATAGGTGAATAAACTGTTGCAGACAATAAAAACAAGTCTTCCTAGTACAAAACACAACAAAGCAATAGAGTACATTTAACTCCAAACCTGTTGCATCAATGCATCAGTTCTTGGTTTGGAGGTTGAAGTTTTTGAATCATCTTGTTTAAGTTGCTTCAAGCCAATCTGCATTTGAATAAAAGGCAATTGAAATAAGATCTTCGACATAACATAATCAAGAAGGTTTTCACTACAACTTTACATCGAATCACCGCAACACAGATTATCAGATACTGCACAGAAAAACCTACCTTAAATGCACCTGAGAAAAAATCAGATACACTGGGCATCCGGCCTTCTTTGGCAAGAACAGACCCCAGAACACCTGCAAACCATTCACGATATTACTTCCTTAGAAAAACATCACCATGAAGAAGCCATTACAAGCAACGGTTATGAAACACAGAAACACCATTGATCAAATACTGCACATCATAACAATGCCTCATCTTTTCAGAAAAACTATAGCAAACCAATTCATCACTTCTCTGTAATATTTGATAATCAACAATAAGCTGCAATAACACCAAAAAATTCGAGAAACCAAACTAATCGACCGCAATAATTACTGAACCAAACTACTCGAAGGCAGTAATTACTGAACCAAACTAAAATTGACATCTCAAACAACCACACCGGGGTTCGAGTAAACCTCAAACATCCTCCCACATCCAAACAAGAATTGAAAGGCTAAAATGAATAAAAACAGGTGGGCATCAGCAACGACGCCAAAAAAAATTACAGACAAGCCAATTAATTAAATAAAACCATAACAATTATTGATGAATCAAGTGAGAAACACTTACCAGCACCGACGATGATGGTGAGTTTACCAAGAGAAAGCGCCATCGGAAATGGTCACACAAATTTGCTAATTACGAAAGAAAATCAACAAATACAGACGCACACACACGTATCAACTCATCGGACACTTCTCCGTAACTCAAATGAAAACACAAATTGACAAATCGCGCGTAACGAAGAGACGACGATGCTATTGAATTCTTCCTTCTTCTCGGCGAGGCTCCAAATCAAAATCGGCTGATATTTTCAGGAAACCCTTCTCGGGCATTGGAAATAAGCAAAATGGGAGGGGCATTAGTGTAAAAGAATATACCTGGAGAATAACGAGCAGGGGCTGAATTTACTATCGTACCCTTCCCGGCTTTTGGGCCAAGTTACGACACGATTCACTTAGTTAATAGGTTTGCGCTTTTAGAATTTCCTCAAGTCGCGTTTCATATTAAAAAAATATATTTGTATATATTCAATTTATTTTTTAATTTTTAATAAAAGGAATTTATGTTAGTAATATCTATATATATTTTTGTTATAAAATATATAACAAAATATGAAAATACTACTATAATATATAGATGTTGTAATATATGTATAGATATGTAATAAAGTATATATATGTATATATATTCTAGAGAGAGAGTAGAGAAACGAGAGAGAGAGGAAGAGGATATCAAGAAATGCAAAGTATCCTATTTTCATTAGATACAAGGCTTATTTATAAGTCACTTTCAATACAATTAGACATCAAATATAGACATGTGTTAAGATAATATGATGATACCTACCATAAATAAATAATGACTCATAACACTCCCTCTTAGATGTCATTTAATTGCAATGAATACGACTCGTTAAAACCTTACTATGAAAAAACCCAACGGGATAAAAATCCTAGTTAAGGAAAAATAGTACGTCATTCATGCATTAAAAATATTCCCCTGATGTGGACATCACTTGAAATATTGCTCCCCTGATGTGGACATCATTTGAAATCTTGCAACCGACGCATCCCAATGATCTTTACCAATTTATCGAACATTGCGGTTGGTAAAGCTTTGGTCAACAAGTCTGCTAAATTTTGGTCTGATCGAATCTGCTGCACATTTATTTCACCATTTTTCTGAAGATCATGAGTAAAGAAAAATTTCGGTGAAATATGTTTCGTTCTATCTCCCTTGATATATCCTTCTTTCAGTTGCGCTATACAAGCTGTATTATCTTCGTACAAAATAGTAGGAGGATTATCATTTTCAAATTTCAAACCACAATTCTGTAAAATGTGGTGAATCATTGATCTTAACCAAACACACTCTCTACTAGCTTCATGAATTACTATTATTTCTGCATGATTTAAAGATGTGGCGGTTAATGTTTGTTTAGTAGATCTCCAAGATTCCACTGTACCACCACAAGTAAATATATAGCCAGTCTGAGACTTGGCTTTATGCGGGTCAGAAAGATACCAAGCATCTGCATATCCAATCAATTCATTACGAGATCTTTTTGGATATAATAGACCAAGATCAATAGATCCTTGGAGATAACGAAAAATATTTTTGATCCATTTCCAATGTCGTTGTGTTGACATTACACTAAATCTGGCCAATAAATTTACAGCAAATGCTATATCTGGTCTAGTATTGTTAGCCAGATATATTAGTGCACCAATAGTACTTAAATATGGTACTTCAGGACCAAGTGCTTCCTTATTCTCCTCTTTTGGTCTAAAAGGATCTTTAACAGGATCGAGAGTTCTAACGACCATTGGAATACTTAATGAATGTGCTTCATCCATTGCAAATCGTTTCAATACCTTCTAGGTATATGCAGATTGATGTATCAAAATCCCATTTTCCAAATGTCAATTTGTAGACCAAGACAAAATTTCATTCTCCCGAAATCTTTAACTTCAAACTCCCTTTTCAAATATTCAATAGCTTCTTGGACCTCTCCAGAGGTTCCAATTAAATTCAAGTCATCCACATAAACAACTATTATTACAAAATTTCTCTCATATTTCTTTATAAAAACACACAGACAAGTAGAATCGTTGGTATATCCCTCTTTAAATAATGATTCACTGAGACGATTATACCACATGCGACCAGATTGTTTGAGCCCATACAAAGACTTTTGTAATTTAATAGAATAACATTCTTTTGGCTTTGATTTATATGCATCATGCATACTAAATCCTTCAGGGATTTTCATGTAAATATCACTATCCAATGAGCCATATAAATATGCAGTTACAACGTCCATCAGACGCATATCCAAATTTTCATGTACTGCCAAACTGACAAGATATCAAAATGTTATTCCATCCATTACTGAAGAATATGTTTCATCAAAATCAACTCCAGGTCTTTGTGAAAAATATTGGACAACAAGTCTTGCTTTATATCTGGAAATTTCATTATTCTCATTTCTCTTTCGAACAAATACCAATTTATAGCCAACAGGCTTAACACCTTCAGGTGTTTGAATAATTGGTCCAAAAACTTTTCGTTTTGCTAGTGAATTTAATTCAGACTGGATCGCATATTTCCATTTTGGCCAATCTATTCTTTTCTGACATTCATCAACTGATCTAGGTTCTGGATCCTCGTCATTTTCCATTAGATCAAGTGCTACATTATATGCAAAAACATTATCCATAATTGTATCATTTCGGTTCCAATGTTTTCCGGTAGTAACATAATTTATTGAATTTTCAATAATTTCATTCTCTTCAGAATAAATTCTATTATGATTAACATCCTCATCAAGTTTATCAGGATCAATTTCTTTAGAAATCTGATCCATGTTACTACCTGTTTCTTTAGGGTTTTGATTAACATTCAAATCATCAACCCTTTCATTTGTTCCTCTTTTCTTTCGAGGATTTTTATCTTTGGAACCTACAGGTCTGCCACGTTTTAGCTGTGCATTTGATTCATTAGCACTTTGTATTTTGTCTCCAGGAATAACAATTTTAGCAGGTACATTTTCAGCAGCTATATAAGATTTAGTGACCCTACTGGCGTCACAAAAAGCATCAGGCAACTGATTTGCTATTCGCTACAAATGTAAAATTCTTTGTACCTCTAATTCACTTTGACTTGTGCGAGGATCAAGAAAATTGAATGATATTTTCCAATTAATTTCCTTTTACAGTTGATCAGTTTCTCCCTCTAATGTCGGGAAATGCGACTCGTCAAAATGACAATCAGCAAAGCGAGCCGTAAACAAATCACTAGTTAACGGTTCAAGATATTTAATGATAGATGGTGATTCATACCCGACATATATCCCCAATCTCCGTTGGGGGCCCATTTTTGTACGTTGGGGCGGTGCAATTGGCACATAAACTGCGCACCCAAAAGTTCTCAAATGTGAAATATTGGGCCTTTCATTGTACACTAATTGTACTAGGGAGTAGCTATGATAGCTTGTCGGTCTTAATTTTATCAGTGTTGCTGCATGCATAATTGCATATCCCCAAGCAGATACGGGAAGTTTGGATTTCATTAGCATAGGTCTTGCAATTAATTGCAGTCTTTTTATAAGTGATTCAGCTAGACCATTTTAAGTATGTACATGAGGTACATGATGTTCAATATCAATTCCAATAGACATGCAATAATCATCAAATGTCTTAGATGAAAATTCACCAGCATTATCAAGACGAATTTTCTTTATTGGGTGATCTGGAAACTGAGCTCGTAATTTAATTATTTGAGCAAGCAACCCGCAAATGCCAAATTGCGGGTGCATAATAAACACACATGCGACCATCTAGTAGATGCATCGATAAGTACCATAAAATATCAAAATGGTCCGCATGGTGGATCTACAAGCCCACATATATAACCCTGAATTCATTCTCAAAATGAAGGGATTCAGTTCCCACTTTTGCCGGTGATGGTCTAGTTATTAACTTCCCTTTTGAGCAAGCAACACATATAAACTTATTTGTATTTAATATCCTTTGATCTTTCAAGTTATGACCATTGGTATTTTCAATAATTCGTCTCATCATAGTATTACCGGGATGCCCAAACCGGTCATGCCAAATCATAAAATCTGTAGACTTCTGGTCTACCAGATATGTTTCAACCACATTAATCTTTGTGCAATATAATCCGGAAGACAATAAAGACAATTTTTCTAATATATATTTATGTCCATCAATGAATTTTGTAATTAACAAAAATTCATTATTTGTCTCACTTGATGTCTCCATATGATATCCATTTATGCGAATATCATTAAAACTCAACAAATTTCTTTGAGATTTACTATAATATAGTGCATTTTGGATATCAAGTTTTACTCCTTTGGGGAGAAATATTATTGCTCTTCCAGAGCCCTCAATTAATTTCGCACAACCACTTATAGTATTTACCTTAATTTTTTCCAACTTCAGGTTGGTGAAATATTTCTTATATTTCAAAATGGTCTGCGTTGATGCACTATCAATGAGACATGAATTGTCTTCCATATTATTTATTATAACGTGCTCAACATTCATATTTCTTTTGATGGGAGAAATATAAGAATAAATATATCAAAAATTTGGAGAAAATACGTAGTTGTCATATCATTACAAAATGTAGGTAGCAAAAACTACGTGTGTTACAAAAATATATACACATATCTATATGCATTTATATCATATTTTCGGGATTTTCATAGTACTCACCTTCAGGGTGTACTAGAAAATCATATACATCTAGCTGTGTATTATCATTACATTTATCACCCACACTTCCACTGGCAACGTTCTCTGAAAAATTAGTTTATGGGGGATTGACATTTTCCGGTGCTTTAACTTCTTCAGGCACATTATATTTATGTTTTAAGGAATTTTGGTACAGCTCAACGAAATAAGAATTGGAACGACAATTTCTGAACCAATGTCCTGTCATTCCGCAACGATAACACTTATCCTCGTTTTTCTTTGAACTCTGACCAACATCATTCTGAGGCCGCTTCATACGCCTATTTGATTCCTGTTCATCAAAATATCCCTGACGGTAGTAATGCGAAACAAACCTGCCACGACCTCGTCCACAGTCGGCTCCACGTCCACGACTCATTCCACGTCCACGACTAAATCCACGTCCACTGCCTTGTCCGCGACCTCGTCCGCGGTAGAATCTAGGCATATTATTTAAACACTGAGTCGCATTCACTTCAGGGAATGGACTTGCACCAGTTGGCCTCGATTCGTGATTTTTTAATAATAATTCGTTATTCTGTTCAACAACAAGTAGACAAGTAATAAGATCACAATATTTATTAAAACCTA